GTTTATCTGAAAGTGACCTAATTTCACCATCATATTTGAAAGAAGAGTTTTGCAGGATATATTATTCTTGGCTGGCAATTTTTTCTTTCAAGGTTTTACATATGTCATCCCATTGCCTTCTTGCCTGCATAGTTTCTGCCGAATAATCTGAGCTTAGTCTTATTGTTTCTCCTCTGTATGTGACTTTTTGTTTTTCTCAAGCTGCTCTCAGGATTCTTTGTCTTTGGTTTTAGCTAGTGTGATTATGATATGCCTTGGAGATTTTCTTTTGGGGTCTATCCTATATGGGGTTCGTTGAGCTTCTTGGATGGTCAGCTTTTCATCTTTCATGATGTTGGGGATGTTTTCTGTCAGCAATTCTTCAGTGATCCTCTTTGTGTTTTCTCTTGTCTCCCCATGTTCTGGAACTCCAGTCACTTGCAAATTTTTGTTTTTGGTTGCATCCCACATAATTCTCAGGGTCTCTTCATATTTCTTTGCTCTTTTTTCTGATTTTTCCTTAAACAGAATTGTATCCAAGTGTTTGTCTTCAAGTTCACTGATCCTGTCTTCCATCGTTTCATACCTGCTCCTCAGCCCTTCTATGGCACTGTCCATTTCTGAAATCTTGTTGTGTATCTTTTGGATTTCCAATTGTTGTTTTTGTGTGATTTCTAGTTGTGAATTTATTTTAGCATTTTGTTCTTGTATTATTTTCTTCAATTCTTCCTTTTTTTTGGTCTGTATTTTCCATGAATTTATGTATTTTTTCCTCATTTTTGTCTGCTTTTTGCTTCAACTCTTGGATAATTCTGAATATTAGAGATCTGAATTCCCTATCAGTTAGGTCTAGTGCCTTTTCTTCTACTGGAAGGTCATCTGGTATTTTATTTTGGACACCTACTGGAACCATCCTGTCCTGTTTTTATAAACGTTTTGATATTGTCTGCTGTGTTCGGGACATTCAGTGGTTATTTTCCTCATTTATTGATTGTATATTTGTTTCGTCTTGCTTTTTTGTTTTATTTGGTTATGTCTGAGCAGGAGGGCTGTGCATTCTTTGTTATTTGCTCGTCTGTGGACATGATACTTTTCACCTCCTTCTCCATTGGGCAGGGTCAGTCACTCAGTTATGGTAAGCAGGGCAGGTTCAGCTGAAGGAGAGTTGCTGGGATAGGTTTTTTGTGGTATGTACCAGGGCTGACAGTGCAGACCAGGAATCAGTGCAGGGCAGGTTCCAGTAGGCCGTGCTTGTGCTGCTTGGGAGTGTGATGTTCAGTGCACAGTGCAGGTAGGCAGGAAGGAGGGGGTAGATTGTGATGTGTGGAGCTAAGACTGGTATGGGAAAGATGAGACAGAAAAGAGAGGAACAGGAGCCAAAAATATACACACAAACAAAAAAGAGCGATAAGGGAGCTTGATATTGGAGTGCAGAGATGAGTGACTGAGAAATGGGGAAAAACAAAAATGAAAAAAAAGGGTAAAAGAGAAAAATGAATAAATCGAGAAACTGGAAATGAAGAAAGACAAAAAGGGAATAAGAGAAGAAAACTAAACAAAGAAATGAAAAAAACAAAAACTGAAAACAAACAAAAAAAAATGAAATGAGATGTCCCTGTGCGTCTGCGCAGATTAAGGGAGTAGCTTACAAGCCATATGGTACTGCCTGGCTAGAAGGGGCTGCCAAGCTGAGAAAAGAAAACGAAACAAACAAACAAATCAAAACAGAACAAATCAGAGCAAGCTAACAAACAAAAAAGCCCCGGGGGTCCTGCCAGCGTGGCGGCACAGGCCGGGAAGTAGTTTCACAGTTAAGCAGTGTTTCGCAGCCTTTCAGGAAGAAGGAAAAATGGCGCACGGAGCCAGGTATTTGAGAAAAAGGAGGGGGAGGTGGTGAGAGGTAAGGAAGAAAGCTAACAAAGTGGAAAAAAGCAACGCCAGCAGCCAACAAAAGGCACTCAGTGAGCTGGCCAGTGCTTGCGGGTGGAATCCAAGCGACACCAGGGTGCTTCTCGGCCAAGAGACTGTGGCTTCAGGAAGCAGAGGAGGCTAAGTGGGGGTGAAGAAGGGTTGGGGGTGGAAAAGCATATATCGCTGGTTACCAGTTGTTCTGTCTCCTCCTGGAAGCTCTGCAAAGCTGCTTTCTCCTACCCCTTTTTTGCTGATCTCCGATAGGAGTCCAAGATAGTAGATCCTTGCTGCAGTAGCTGGTAGGAGGCTTCTGCATGTATCTCTCCTCACTCTCTCTTCTCAGTCAGTTTCTTATTCCATTAGGTGCTTGGCTGAGTTCTTTTATCTCTTCATTTGATGCGTAGGGTTTCCGGATTGACATGTAACTTTGTTTGACTTAGTTTTTCTGGTCTTTGATGCAGAGGGATGGCGTGGTGCTTCCGACTGTTGCACCATGTTGCCTGGATGTCCCCTGCTTTTCTCTTGGTCACATTTATAAACCATTTTCTATACAGCAGCTGCAGTATTCATTAAAAAAAGAAACAAAATTATTATGTTGCTTTTGGGTGCCATTGCATTGATTTTAGCTCATAGTGACCCCATGTCACAGAGTAGAACTTCCCTCATTGTGTTTCCTAGGTTGTAGTCTTTATGCAAGCAGATCACCAGGTCTTTCTCCCATGGAGCAGCTAAGTTAGTTCCAACCTCCAACCTTTTTGTTAGCAGCCGAATACTTAACTGTTTGTGCCACCAGAGTTCGTTAAAATATTGTGGAAATTACCAAAGCTTAAAAACTAGGTAGTATAATTAACTAATGTGCTTATCACCATGCTTCAGAAATTATCAATAATGGCCAGTCTTGTTTCATCTCTTCCCACCCTCTTCCAGACATCATGCCACTTCATTTGTAAATACTTTAGTATTTTTATAAAAGATAGTCTTCTTAACACACACACACACACACACACACACCCCCACCCACACACCCACACACCCACCCAGTCCACATGATGGTTGCATAACTCTGTGAATATACTAAAAACTGTTGAGTTGTACAGTTTAAGTGGGTAAATTGTATGACCTGTGAATTACGTATCTCAATAAAGCTATTAAAAAGATGTAATCACATAGTATGAGCCTATTAAAAGTATTTGAGTAATTCCTTACAGTCATCAAATAGCCAAAATTCTCATTTCCCCCACTGTCTTATTTTTTAAAAACATTTTCACAGAGTTTTAAAACATAAGTCAGATCATGTTATTCTGCTGTTTTGGTTTTCCATCATGTTTAGAATAAAACTAAACTTACATTAGCTCACAAAGGTCTGGCCTGCAAAGCCCTTACATGACGGAGCCTCTGTCTATCTCACTGACTTTATCTCCTGCCCATGAAATTGTTCCTTTCTCAGGGTGTTTGCATTAGCTGTTCCTTCTGCTGGAACGCTCTTCCCCCATATTTTTACAAGGCTGGATCTACTTTTCAACTTAAACATCCTTTCTTCAGAAAGGCCTTCCCTGCAGCCTTCCAACCCCCAATCTAAAGTGGTCTCCCAGTTATTTTCTATCAAATCATTCACTTAAAAATCTCTGCAAAATATGGTTATTATCTGATATATCCTATTTTACTAATTTATTATCTGTCTCTCATGCCTTCTATGTCTGTCCTCCCTCCCCATTTCTTTTTCTCAATACCCAGTGCACAAAAGAATAGTTGGCACATATGATAGACTCTCATTAGGAGATCCTTATGCAAAAAGTTACCCAGCACATAGCAAATGTTTGATATTTATAAGAAGGTTATTTAATAGAATATGTTACCTTACTGCAGAGTTTCAAGGAGCTCTTCAGAGTTTCAGTCTGATATGTTATTTTGGCCAAATGTAGAGTGCTTGCATTTGTAAGGTTAAGAAAAGTTAACATAGTACTCTGCTAACTTCATTCTCCACCATCACTTTTTCCTTTTGTCTTCAGTTGTGGACCATCATACCCTTAGCTTCTGAGCTCTCTAGCCACCTCTTTCCCAGTAAGGTAGCTGAAGAGTGGTGCAGTAGGCTGAATGTTGTTGCTGGGTGCTGTTACGTTGATTCAGACTCTTAGTGAACCTGTATGACAGAGTAGAACTGCCTCATATGGTTTCCTAAGATGTAATTTTTACGGAAGGAACCCTGTTGACGCAAATGGTTAAGTATTTGGCTACTAACTGAAAGGTCAACAGTTTGAACCCACCGACTGCTCCCCAGGAGAAAGACCTGGCAATCTGCTCCTATAAAGATTACAGCCTAGGAAACCCTATGGGGTAGTTCTACTTGGTCCTTATAGGGTCACTGCGAGTCAGAATTGACTCGACGGTACACAACAACAATCTTTACGGGAGTAGATCATCAGGTCTTTTTTCCCATGGAGTGGCTGGCAGGTTCGAACCACTGGCCTTTTGGTTAGCAGCCAAGTGCTTAATCATTGCACCACCAGGGCTCCTTGTTAGGTTGAATAATGGCTGTAAAGATGTAATTAAATTAAGCATCTTGAGATGGGGAGATAATCCTGAATTATCTAGGTGAGCCCAATGTAATCACAAAGATCCTTATAAGAGGGAGACAGGAGGATCAAAATATATAGAGAGAAGATACAAGGATGGAAGCAGAGGTTGAAATGATGTGCTTTGAAGATGGAGGAAGGAAAAGGCAAGGGAATGGATTCTCCCTTGGAGCCTCCAGAAGGAACATAGGCTTGCCAGCACCTTGATTTTAGCCCAGTGAAACTGACTTTGGACTTCTGACTTTCTGAACTGCAAGATAAGTTTGTACTGTTTTAAGCCTCTAAGTTTGTGGTAATTTGTTACAGCAGCCGTAGGAAATACATAGTTGCTTAAGGCAAGAAGGCTTGAGCAATCACAGAATCTGTACTGAGTGTTCTTAGCTGCCAAAAAGGAAGCCATAAAGAGTTGAGATGGCAGTTCAGGTAGGTAACTTTGTGGGGGGAAGAAAAAGGTGTAGTTAGTGGAATAATGAATATCATGTTACTGCAATTGCAACATCAATTCCTTGACAACTTTTTTCCTTTTACTTTACATAGATCAGAAACCTCTTGACCTTGCCCAGGGAGCTGAAATGAAGCACGTACTTGTGGGTAATAAGGTATGTAGTAATATATTACATTTATTTAATAATTTTTAGAAAAAAATATTGCATGTTTGAAGTATATGGATACATTTTTAATGAAAAAATGTTTTCAATAGGTCATCTACAAAGCATTGAAACGATATGAAGGCCCTCTCTGGAAGGTAGGCTTGGATTTTTTTTTTTTTTTTTTTTTTTTTTTTAGATTATAAAACTAGAAGAATTCTCAGGTGCTGTTTTTAAGAATTTTTTACTTTTCTCAATCATTTCTGAAGTATATGTGATTTAATCATTCTTAGAGCTTTTAATATAAACCATTTTTATACTGCTGGCCTTCGTTGGGCTACTACTAGTTGTAGCAATTACTTTCTTTGTATTGATGCTTTAATACTTTTAGGTGGCCGAGTTTGTATGGCCCAGAGTAGGGGCAAAATACATTTTTCTCTCACCTAATCATAAAACTACAGTATTATTTTTGCTGTAAACATTGAACCTGGGTGGCACAAGCGCTTTGCGATTGGCTGCTAACCTAAAGGTTGGCGGTTCAAACCCACCAGCGGCTTCGTGGAAGAAAGGCCTGGCAAACTACTTCTGTAAAAATTACAGCAAAGAAAACCCTATGGAGCAGTTCTACTGTCTAACACATGGGGTCACCATGAGTTGGAATCAACTTGACAGCAGCAAGTTTTTTTTTTAAACAGTAACCTATGTGGGACCTATGAGGAAATTCATATTTGAATTGTCACAGAGCTTATGAGAGCACACATATAAAATCCCTCTGGTTCTAAAAATTTCTATGAATTTTGTAGTTCAGTTATTTTGCATTTGCAAGCACTCCCTGTATATTATACACATGCATGTTTATTTTGTACAAAATAAGTTTAGAATAATTTTTTTTCTGAAGTTCTTTCATGACTTTGAGGAAATTGGCTTTGAAAGCCATAACCAGTGTATTTCCTATAAATATCCCCGAACAGTATTGTCAGGATAATAAACTGTATTCATCGTTGGGCTTATCAGTGTGGTTTTTCTTCTGTTTCTGTCACCCTGTAGTGATATGTTTTCACCACTGCATCTGGTATCTAAGCTCATGTTTGAGCCTTTTTTTTAATGTTCAGCAGTACTGTCTAGATGAAAGACTCAGATATAACTGTCATCGCTAAATTACTTTTCATCAGTCAACTATTTGATCCTACATGTGTCATCTTCGGAAATGCTTTGTCGTTTGTCCATTAGAGCTCAAGATTTTTTGGCTGGAGATTATTCTGGGTAGTGCTAGAACATGGAGTCCTCTCGTGGTATCGGAAACAGTAAGTATTATCTTCATAATAATTACATATCATTATCTGACTTCTGAAAGATTCAAGTTTTTCACTTGTCTCTTTTCCTTTTGACTTGATAATTTAATATTTATTTTGAAGGCCTGATGCAGTGCATCACATTTATCGCCAGGGATGCAAACACCTGACTCAAGCAGCATGCACGGTAGGATGAGATGCGTACCTTTTGCTCAAACCGTGAAATCAGTTCTGAAAGTGATTGCCCCAAGTTGTCTGTATAAGCTGCCTTCTGAAATCTTGGTGTTCTGTGGGATTCTATATACACATGAAACCACTTGTATATATTTCTTTGCCAAAATTGAGAACAAGTAAATCTATGGAATCTCCATTTGGAGGGAAATTTAAAAATACAGTCAACTTCTGATCATCTCCACATATTGTGGAATGAGAGATGGATGATTCAAAAACATTTATACAGAGGTTTTTAATATTTTATGTGTGTGTATTTGAGTGTGTTTCTATATCTGTATACAGATGTGCCTGTGTGTATTTATGTATATATGTGTATATGCATATATGTATGTGAATTTGAACACAGGTAATTCTTTTCTGAGATT